GCCATTAATTGACACATTCTATACAGAGTGTCCATGTAGATGGAAATGTTTATTAGGGTAACACACTTCCAGATTTTCCGAAGGAAATTCAAGTATTGTGTGTTTTATGTATCACATTTTTTACCTTTACTTACCAATATATGTAATATGTAAGGGAAAGTATTGTGATCTTGAACAATTTCAAAACTGAATTTTCATCGGAAATACACGTTTCGATGTCCCCTGAGTCCAAATAACCAAGTCCCACAATACTGAGGGGGCGGGATGGCCGAATGGGCTTAAGCGTGTGCACAGCACTGCGATTTGCCTGTCAACCGGATTATAGATTTGAGAAGATTTAAAAAGTACGAGTTGACCTTCGGGAGATGTGAGCAATATGGTGATTTCAGAAGATGGTGGGTCTATGAAAATGGCTAGTTTTTCATTATGGAGCTGAAGGTGATGGGATGGTCATTTAGGTATAGAGTAGGAATGTTGGTATTGGATCTAAGAAGTGGTTTGGAATCAATTACAATGACTTGAGTTTTGGCAGAGTTTAATCATAGTCCATTTAAGTTTTCCCAAGCAGTGATCCGATTTAAGTCTTCTTGAATTTTGGCAAACGCATCCTGCAACTATGAGGAAAGGAAGGATAAATAAATTTGGGAATCATCGGCATATAGGTGATGGGAACAATGCCGGATAGATTTTTGAATTTCGTTGATGTAGGAACTAAAAAGAAGAGAAGATGTGCTAGAGCCCTGGGCCACTTCTGAAGTCAGAGTAAGATAGGAAGACAAAGGTTTATTGGGAATATAGACTGCATGGGTGCGCTGAGAAAGGAAAGATTGAAACCAAAGGATAGAACTGTTAGAAAAGGTTAATGATTTTAATTTGGAAAATAGGATGGAATGGTTGATGGTATCAAAGGCTTTGGAAAAAAAAGTCTAGGAAAACAAGGACAGTTAGTTTTTGGTCATCTATGGCTGATTGAGCATCACTAATGATTTTTATTAGGGCGGATTGTGTGGAGTAGCCTGGTTCAAAACCAGATTAGAGCGGGTCAAGTTGATTATAATGTTCTAGGAAGTTGGAAACTTGGGATTGCACCATTCTTTCTAGGAGTTTTGAGAGGTTAGAGACAATTGAGATTGGACGGAAATCTTCAGGGGAAGTAGGGTTAGAATTTTTATTTAAATTACGGACGATGGCTTTCTTCCAAGGGGTAGGAAACACGGAGTTCTGAAGGGAGAAATTATAAATGAAAAGAAGAACGGAGAGGATTTCTTGTTGGCATAATTTGATTAATTTGGTAGTTAATTTGATTAAAAAGCAGTTAATAGCACCCATAGTACAGATTATATTGATAATCATAAATAGTGAGGAAGCAATACTGACTCCATTGGGCAGAGAATTTTTTTTCTTAAACCTGGAAAAGTATTTTTCCTCTAGTTAGTTATCAAATACTTATATATGGAGGAGATTGAATACTTCAAATAAACATTTTATAAATTCAGTATTTAAATCATTCCCTTCAGGAAAATACCTACCTGAAATCGAACGCCACTTGACCGTACTTTGATACAATCATTTAATTTAAAATCGTTGAGGGCTGTTAAAGTAATTTTACAAACTGTAAATAATTTTACAATGAATAATATAAATTGGTATTTCCAGTAAATCGATTGGCACAGGAAAAAGCTAATGTATGATCCCAAGAAAATATTTGTTATAACTTCGTATAACGTTACGCTGTTCACACCCACACACATATCGTGGGTTTATTGCAAAACGTCATAAGTGACATTTCATTATCTTTAATCACTTTGAATTTCAATTAATTTACCATTTGTAAAATCAGTAAGGGATCTAGTGCCCTTGTTGTAACTTTATTAAATATGTTTGAATGAGATTTTATTCTTTGTATAAAGAATTAAATTACACCTAGAGTTACTATTACCAATTAATAATCACTATCATATGTCATTAGATAACTCAAATAATAACACAATGAAGGTTGCAACAGTGTTGTAGTACACTGTAGCAAACGTACAGATGTATAAAATGAATTATGTGATTTTAGTGCCTTTAATGTGTTTTTATTGATATATAAAGTCAAAATTTACAAAAAAAAACGTTGTTAAAATTTCAGTTTCATCAAGTAAAAATGTACTTAATGACTTTTTGAAATAAACCGGCGATACCGAAGCAGACAGAAAATATTCTGTCTGAATCTGGGACCGGACTCTGAGGACCTTAAAATGCCCTTATTTTTTAAATATCCTTCGGATTAAAAAATAATACTATAAGGAATTCGAACCATATATTGATTGCCTTAAATTGTATTCATTTTTTAATTTACAGATGGGTATATAGTTGGCTATTGAAATTGTAAGGATGAATGTCCAGGTTATGTAGTCATAAGATTATGCTGCCTTTTTGACACAAACATGTAGGTCATACCCAGGGCTAAAAATTATGAAATATAAAACTACATATGAATAATGACAAATATACAAATAAGAGAAGAAAAAGAAGTAAAGTATAAATGAGATAGCGACAGTAGAAACATGGCAATTATAAAAACATTACATTAAAAAAAATATATAATTTTCTCAGGATATTGTATGTTGTTTTCTCAGCAAATTGTACATCTTCTGTTGCTGGCAATGTGTTTTAAAACGAACCTTATTGCCCGTTCTTTAATTTTTCTTCGGTGCTCCTTAGTGCTAGAACTTAGACAGTTATCATCGAAAAAGCAACTGTTATTACTGGAGTAAGATGTAGCGAGAGCTACTGGAGGCGTCATGTATAAAATATATCGTAAAGGAAAGTATTGCGATCGTTAAAATTTTCTATTCTCAGTTTTCAACGGAAATACACGTTTTAAGGTCCCCTGAGTCCAGATAACCAAGTCCTGCGAAATGGTGTGTGTATGTTTTGAACAGTGTTGGTATTATTTAATATTTAATTGTATAGTTTACTGTGATATAAATCTTAAAATTTGTATATATTAGGCTACTTATACAAATAAAAATACCGTCATCGCTAGAAACAAATATAACGTCCAAAATCACCTTCCTTTCATCTGAAAATACTTATTTCTGCTAAGGGGGTGGTAAGTGATAGTTGTGTGATGTGTTCAACGCACCAGATTCTTTCTATGGCGCTGGTTAGTGTCCAGGTCTCAAAGCTAGAAGTGGCTTATTAAATATTAAATTATTATATTAAATATTAATATTAGAAGTGGCTTTGTCATAGCATTGTACGCCCTTAATTTGAGCTGTTTCGGGATTTCAATACCTTTGAAAGGGAGAAGATAGCTCTGTTTGCACTAGTTATACGCTAGTATATTTCTGCTCATTTGTTAATTTTATTTTTATTATCATCCAAACCCTCGAGCACAACCCCTATCTAGCTTTACCCATCCCTACAATCCTCCTCGTAGGTTGAAGCGGCAGTGAGCCAGAGACCTGTTGTAAGAATATATTGGAGATCTTGCAGTGGCCAGATTCTTCACTCAAGCCATACATGTCTGGTTGCAGCGCATCATCTCAGCCTCCACTGGTCCTTATACCAGTAATGCGGCTGAAAAGAAGGCACTGAGATCTCCTAGAATTTTGTCTTTCCTTCCAAGAGTGTGGGAAAAGGCTTGGCTCGGAGATCTTTGATGAATTTTTTTTTAATATTTCATAAAAGCATGTGCGTATTTATGTCGTTATTTTGATTAGTTTTGTTTCTTTTTGTTTACCTTAGTTTCTGTTATTTTATATAAATTTACTTTTAGTATAATTATTTTGCTGATTATTTATTTTAATTGTTGTACATATTGTGAATGAACTAATCTTTTATCAGTATTACTATTGTTCTTAGATGTGACAGATTGTAATGTATCACAATAAAGAATTTTAAAAAAATGTATTTTAAATACATTGTTATTATAAATCAAAAAATTATGTCATGAAAATAACTAAACCAGCATTTCTGAATTATTAACTTATTTATTGAAAAATATTACAATCTGTCTCAAGGACACTTATAATAGTTCTCACAGATCACATCTGAACTATTATGTTCGAAAAAATCCTACACAAAAAAATTTATTATTTGAAAAATATAATATAATGTGATATCATTGAAGCCTTTTTGGTAGACTTTTTTTATTATTTCGTTTTTGAAAAAATATGAATTTTCGATAGTCATATCATAATATCAATAACAAACAATGGTATAAATATATTGTTCTAAAAAATATAGATTTAAAGATATTTTTGAAGCGTCCCTAATTTGATGCCAAAACAGTAAAAAATGAAAAGAAAAGAAAACGCTCCATCTTAATCCACGGTATCTTAATTCTTCTTCAAGACATAAAAAGTTGTTTTGAGTTTTCATCATTATTTTTTTTAAACCCTTTTAATAATTACAAAATATATAACTATATTCATCAATGGAGAATTTATGAACATAGTAGTAATACTGAGTTCTGGGTGTAAATTTTAAAATTGTTGACGAATCTCGTGACATCCCATGAGCCAGGTCATAAAATGATGCCCATATTAGGCAAAGGTGTGATTGTAAATAGCGGTAAAGTGTATGTTATTTTAAGTAATATGAACCTTGTCAGTCATTTCAGAGGCACACTTTAAAAAATTGCAATTGTTTAAAGAATATTAAGTAACCTAAAGACCAAACGGCAAATCGAAAGCGGAAAATGTGGGAAAGGTTTTCATATTTTTAACTTGTGTATACGGATTCAAACATGTATTCAAAAGTACCTAACGTGGACCACCTATGGAAAACTTACAGCCAAAAACAATGATTTTTTCGATCGTTTTTTCACATTCAACTCCCAAACGGTGCATATAAACGAAAAACTGATTCCTTTAATGCAGTTTGATTTTATTTGTTTTGATCTATTACAGAGAATGGTTATTGAAAATCGTAATCCAAAACGATCAGCCGAATTAGAATTAATTATGTATTGTTTCATATTTATTATACAACGATAGTTTTTTTTTTTTAAGTAATTCTAAATGAAAATAAGTCAGAAGTCACTAAATTATTGTTTTTGACATTTTAATTGAATTTCACTATCAAAATACATAGCTCACATGTTTCCCATCTTATCTAAAATTCCAGTTTATCAAAATTCTATTTGAATAGGTTATTAAAATATTTAAACTACTAACTGGTTATAATTCATAACCATCCAGAGGATATATAAAGGAATGGGACACTGGATGTCTGAATCGAAAGATATTGACAGAACACAGGTAGGACGTTCAGATTTGTTTTAGATGTGTAGAGTTATTTATTTATTTTTATTTTACATTTGAATTTTGAGCAAAACACCTGTCCTTAAACCAGAAACATCTCCCAATCGTAAATAAATGGAGAATTTGCGATATTAAATCTCCAACGATAGCATTATAATACTATTGTAATTCTCTAAATAACGAAATAATCATAATCTTGACAATTTATTTGACAAATTCTCTATGTTACATCTTTTTTCTTTTCAGATAATTAACTATAATATAAGCTGTGTTGTAATCAGTTATTTTATAAGCTATTTTATAATTTATTATTTTATAAGCTATAATTAATTTTTTATCAATTATTGTTTCTTATATTGGCTTGACTTGTTATTTATTTTTTAAACAAAATAATAATAAAGTAAAATAATTGACGAGAAGAATGGTTGGAATTATAAGTATAAAAAAGAAATAGTAAAAATTAATAATTATATTTATTTTTATCGACGTTTCGACCCAAAGTTCAGGCCTTCATCAGAGCTGGCCAAACGAAGGGGTATCGCAATACGTCTTGCGACACGACTTCTTGCTCGACAAATATTCTAAACTAACAACAATATTCTACAGAAAAAAAAAATCATATAAACATCGATCATCAGACTCATCTGGAAATATATAATTGTTTTTGACATTTAGGGATCCACAAAAATATCAAATTGTTCCTCTATGCAATTTTTAAACTCAAAAAGATAATTTAATCATAAAATCGAGAAAAAAGATGGCCTACAAAAATATTGGGACGTTAGGCGTAACTATAGAAATTTTCTAATATTGTTTTTCTGATAAACAGGTAAGAAATGTCGAAGAATCTTGTAAGCAGGTACTGGTTGAGCAGTTCGGATAGTGAAAGTTCTTGCAACGAAGAAGGAAATGAAGTGATCATTGGTTTCGCACCGGAGGAAGGGGAGAAATACAAGAACTGCATTGACATTGTAATGAAAACCCAGAAGATGCAAGGCACCATCCGGATGGCACTCAATCCAACGCTGGAGGAAATTCTTACGGACTTCTTTGTGACGTTAGAAGAATGGAAGAAAAAGGAATCGGCTATGTTACATTGTGACGGCAATCAGTTTAGGTTATTAATATTTAAATTTATATTTTAAAATTACGAAATCGAATAATAACGATAACAATGTAACTTCTTCCTAAGCCACATCAGCAAAATTCGTATATACAAAATCATATCATCAAGACAGTTTATTCAATTTACTCACAAAGAGGGGAGTTGTGGAGGGAGCTGATTGAGCCGTGGTAACGCTTAACCTCCAGAGTTTCCTCCCTTAATTAATTACTTTAATCCATCTTTATTGAGGCTGGTCATGCTCTAGGAGTTTCCCGACCCCGTGTTCAATCCACGGCTGATGAAAACGAATTTGACATCGGCTGGATTCGAATCCAGGAGCTTCTGCTCAGCAGCCCAACTCGCTACTGCGCTCCCTCCAGTTGAATAAAAATAATAATCAGAAAAATAGAGAAAAGCTCGCTGCCAGAACGATCTGCAATTCGCAGGATGGACTGGCTAGTAAGAAGAAGGCACGGTTTCATGTGGGCTTTAACCACTACTTGTAGTAGCCGGGCTTAATAGAAATATAGCTTGAGGATTTGAAGCTGATGGATCGATAGGCTTTGGAAATCTAATTGTTGGAGGTAATTTGTGATGTGTTGCAATTCTTCGCTGCCCCTGTAGAGATGTTAGTTGATGTGCCTCTTTGAATTACGCTCTGAATCCACTTGAATGAAGTAGTGGTACTTTCCCAGCTTCCTGGTGCCTAACCAAACTGCCATTCAGCTTCATTAGAGATTAGATTAGAGCTGGTAGAGTCTCCCTTGGACTGTCTCTCCCACATGAATAGAATATATCCACCCAGCATTAGAGGTAGATGACGGTTGAGTTTTCGTACTCGGATTTAGAGCATCCAGACGAATCAAAATTATTCTTTTCAAATAGAAAACTGGCAGGAATGGCAGACACTGGTCAAAAGCTAATGGCGTCGCACGTTATAAAAACAAAATTGTGTCTTTATTGACAAAGTTTTCAGCTATTTAGCAGTAAATTTATGTATTCTGTATATTGCGTTCAGTGAGACCATTCGTTGAAGGATAATTCAGTGCTTTCAATTTCTGAAAAATTCAGTTGTATTTGGAATAATTTGGAATAGTCACTCTTAAAAATGGCGGTGTTATCTGATACTAAAACTGATGGATAGTCATAGTTTAAAAATATATTTTCCAGGAGCTTGATAGTTGAGTTACAGGACAGAGAATCACAGAGCATGCGCACCTCTGCCCCAGTAGGACTATGCAAGATTATACATAGTCAACATGACTTTTGTACAGTTCTCCTCTGGCAGATCATAAGAATGAACTTTGTCTTTCTGAGGACTTTGATGATCTTTGGGACACGGCTCACAACTTTTTACAACTCCTTTAATGTCCCTTTTTAATTGTTTTCTTATAAACATATCTCCTGGCCAGCTGCTTCATCATTTTCTAGTGAATTTCAGTGAAGTTCTTCTAATGTTTGAATCTGGAAAGATTTAGAGATAACCATTGGATCAAACTTAAACAATACGTTAGAAGTTTTAAAAGTTAGAAGTTCTATCTTTTGGATTATTTCTAAACTCCTTTATTAATACTTGAAACTCTCGCTCTTTCGTAGATTCTTCTGAAACATTAATTTCTGATATTGCTGAGCTAGAAATTTGAAGAGTTTCTAGCATACCATTAATGAGCAGTTACCTGAGGATAGTACAGTGTGATACTGTATGTATATATATATATATATATATATATATATATATATATATATATATATATATATATATATTATATATATATATATATATATATATATATATATCATTTTCATTCTTGCAACGACCGGTATAGTATACTGTTCTAACCCAATTTAAAATGAAGCATATCTCAATATAAGAACAGAAATAATTTGTTACAAGGGACGATCTGGATGGAAAATATGAAAACATAGTTGAAAAAATGGGTTTTACCGTAGATAATACCAACGCTTCTTTATCGAGCTGCTTGTAGTTATATTCAACTTGGGTTAGGGCTCTAAGGATAGCAGTAGTTCCTGGTATCTGTGGTAAAGATTAGTGCATTGGGTAGATTGAATGAAGTAAGAACGCTTTTGGTGCACAATTATTATTTGAGATTATAAAACTGCGACTTCACTGCAAACTGACCATACAATTTTTTCTCCTTTCTGCAACAATTTTTGCAGTATAAAACTTGGAAATGAGTTCAGGAATAAACTTAAAGGTATCACTGAGACTGTTTGAACCTTTTCGGGTATTTCTGAATTTCGTTGCATGTAATATTGCTCAAGTAATTGATGCTTTCTTTTTAAAAAGAAATGTTTGCACTGTTTGCTCAGATGCACATAGTTCTCTTTGAGTCACTTCAAACCAGTAATTAAGTATATTGCGTTTTTTCAAGGGTTTTAGCGTTACATAAAATGATGTCATCAAAGTAAGCCTGAACCATTTGGAGGCGATGCAAAATCTGAGACAGGAACCAAGACAGGATGAACTTCGATGGGGCCGTTTTAATTCCGAATCTAAGATAATTCATTCTATAGGTCATTTATGCGTCACAATTTTCTGTATCTTCATATCTTCTTCAATTTTGTACTTTCAGATATGCCTTCGGCAAGTCTAGCTTAATATAACATTATCTCAGACTAAGCAAGACTGTCGCGAATGATTAGTCTACTGGCTGTGGCCAGTTTCGAATTCGCGCAAGATTTGTAATCTACACAAAGCCTGAATCTACCATCAGGTTTTGCTATGACAACCATAGAGGAGCCTAATCTCTCAATGCGGCAGAACTGATGAGGTCCTAAACTGCTAGGGAAGCAAGTTATTTCTCGGTTTGCTCTCTCAATGTAAAAGGAACATCTCGTCCCCGGACACTGCTTTAATACTCTCTCGGAGTTAATCTTTGAAGCAAATGAACTTCTATTTTATGGACACACCCAACCATTTCTGCATAAATAATAAATGCATAAATGACTAATGTTGGAAGGCGTCTTCGAGAAAAGTGACTGAATTGATGGACAAGTTATTGTGTGATGATTGCTGACCATGAATTGATATACGCCCAAATAGAGCACCAAGCCCTCTTAGTACGCAGTATGTACAAATTAGCATCCATCGTTCATTTCTTGCAGACTTCAGAGAGTATAAATTTTCTTTTACCCTGTATTAAAAGAACTGAAGCGAAAGCAGATGTCCTTGGCTGAAGCGGAATGTTGAGACCAACATAACTGAAGAAGTGTACGGAGTTCGGAGAAGCACCTTAGTGAACTTCGACTTTTGTGCCTTGTTGTTAGAAGCTACAGTAACGAAGTATTTTTTTGTGATTAGGTCATAATTTGTACAAATCAAATGTTTTGAATTCTGCCGATTGCCTTAAAATCAGCATGTCTTCGATAAATTTACGGTGGAGAACGCTGATTCCAATTGAAACTCTACTGATGACTGTTGCCGTTGGACCAAAACTTGTTGTGGCGGCAAGAGTGTCTGTTGATTAGCTGTGGTTAGTTTGTTCGATATTATATATGTGTCGATTTGATATCCTGATAATATTCCAACAGGCTTGCCTAGATGTTCTGATTTATAGCGAGATGCTTCTAAGATGGTAGCTTTCAAAGCTTAAAGAGGACGTCAAAATTCTCTAGAATTACGTTTTGTAGAAGCTGTTCACCGATCTAGCAGTCCTTCAGACTCTGTATAAATGGAGCTCGAAGAAACATGGCTGAGATAGAAATTTGTTTTCTTCAGGAACACGTGTTACAAAAATTGCCTTCTTCTTCTTAATGGGCTCCTATTCTATCGTGCTGAGAGACCATGTTGAAAGGGCTGAATGTGGAAATTTGCTTGAAGTGGTTTTTCCTGGTCTATCAAATTCGAAGGCACTTGATTGGTTTGTCATCTTAAAGGAATGCGGCTAAGTTATTTTAATGTTCTTTTCCTATAGATGTACAGATTAGCTGAATCATTTTTGTTTCATTACTGACGTTTTTGATGTTACGATAATTCTCGAAATGCTCCATATCTGAGGACAATTGTTCATCATTGGAATCAAGATTCTCAAAAGGATAAATCATAGATCGATTAGATTTGAGGAGCAGTTGCCATCATTCGACCTGAATTGTTCGAGTTATTTTGTTCCATGATTATTCATAAATTTCGCTTTAAAAATGTTCAATAACGAAGAGGATAATTAAATTTACTTGGTGCCGATTGTAACTGAACGGCTGTCTAAAACGGAACCTATTCCAGCAGTCAAGTAGTTTCTAATGTGTAGAACTGGATGAAATAAAAAAAATACCTGGATCAGCTAGTGTGCTGCTTTATGATAACTTGAGGAGACGACTAGTTTTCTAAATAGGTTAGAGGCATTGTAGATCCTAATAACTTCCTAAATGTTTTTATTGTGTTTACAATAACAACTGTTGTAATCTGGGTAAAATAATCATTATCATGAAAATTTAAAGCTGAACACTTGAAATAAACTGCTCAATTTTCAATAGATAAACATATGTAAATGGAAATTAGGATACATTATTCATTAACAACTATAGAGAATAACATAATACCTGTTTATTAACAGGTAGGTAAATATATTACCGGATTTACGACAATTCATTTCCTTTGTTTTACATATATTAATTAAACTCTATTCTAAGTTTTCATATAAAACGTTTAACATAATTGCTTAACAATATTATCTATCTCTATATTTACTTTAATTACAAATGTGTTCATATTATTTATTTATTCCATAACTTTTGTCTTAAGAATTATTTTGTAAAATATTGTTTTTAGAAAGAAAAAGTTTATGCACTCAAAGAGAAGATGAAGATTTAATGAAATAGTTCCTAACTATAACAATTGTGAACAATAGCCGATATGAAAATCTTCTTATTTTGAATTTGATGTGTTGTTAAATAAAATATCAAAATTTTATATTTATTAAGATTTTTTTAAAAATATGTTTGGTATGTTGAGGTGTATCTTCCAAGATAATGATTAATGATAGAAATTTAGTTTATGTTATCAGCATTATCGTTTAACAAAGAGTAAATAATATTTTATATGAATAGTAATTATGTGTATATATAAAGAAATAGAAATAGAAATAGAAAATAAACTTTATTCTGGGACGATGTCCCCTTAGAAAAACGATAATGAACAGTTGCAAAAAAAAACCAAAAAAAAAAACATACATATATATATATATATATATATATATATATATATATATATATATATATTCTTCTATTTCGTCCTTCACTCTCATAAAACACATAAAAGGAATATAAGTTCTTTACTGTGTTCCACAGAACTGAAACCATCGAACGTTACTTTATCGCCCATTACACAGCTTTTTGGGATTCTCTGCCATCTAATATCCGCCATGAACACTTCCCTTTCTTCATTAAAATCCTTCCTATTTTATAACTTTCTCATATCAATCAAGAAGCCAATCTCTCTATTTGAAATCTTAATTTAATACTATATTGTTGATTTGAAGTGAATAGAAGTTTTATTATTAACTCTTTAATTCTGGAATAAATTTAGTGTTTTTTTTGTTGTTTTTTTTAGATAATTATTTGTATTCTGGAGATGATTTTTTTGTTGAACATGTATTTTTAATGTTAAGAATATATATAGACAGCTGAACTGCAAAACCCGTTAAGAACAATTTTAGATAGATATAGAAGAAGAAGAAAAGTAAATTTTATTCAGGGACATTAAGTCCTCTAAGAATCACTACAATAAACAATGAAATGACAATTGCCGGACATTAAAAATAATTAGGAATAAATGGAATTACATGTTATCTAGATCTAAAATAAAGATATTGAATGATAAGGCACTGGTAGACATATGAAATTATTGATTAATCCAGATTTCCGAGTTTACATATTTGTACACATAAACAATGTGGATGATATATGATTATTTGTTAGATAACATTAAATTCGACTGACAGCTCTCTAAAACGTAAATATTATTTTACACATATTCGGAAGACTCATTACTGAGAAGATGAAAAAATAAAAGATGTTTAAATGAGGTCAAGTATGAGGATTTGCGTATAAAGGAATTCCAAAAAAAGGTATTCCACGTAGCACAATATCACGTACGACAAAGGGTTTTTCAAAGGAAACACTTCTATGAGAAGGAATAAACAGGTTTGAAAGTTGGGATCTCGATAGATATGATAGAGAATAATTTTATTCTGGGACATGCCCCTTTAGAATAACAAAATAATACAAAATTAAAAGATTACATCAGCATCTAATAAAAACCACACCGAAAAAGAAAAAGAAAAACGTAAAGAAAACACTTGTTTAACAGGATATATACAAAACAAATAAACCAATACACAATTACATCCAACATTAATAATTCCTGGAATTGTAACGTTATCGTAACATCAAAAACGTCAATTAATAATAATAATAAAAAGGCTTAGCGAACCCGAAGGTTCGATGCCGACACCACCAATCGCTTATTACACACCTCCCTCCACTGTTCGCCGTCCAAACCCATTCCCTTCAGATCGGCTTTAATGCAATCTTCCCACCTTCGCTTCGGTCTACCACCCGGACGCTTACCATTCGGCAGAGCAAATATTAACCTTTTAGGAATTCTCTCGTTACTAAGCAAAACAACTTTACAAGCCCATTTGATTCGCCGAGATGAAATTACCTCAATTATATTACCCGGGTATAGTTCACGCAATTCGGCGTTGTGTAACCGTCTGAACTCTCCGGTTAACTCATCCTTCTTCGGTCCGAATATTCTACGCAATACTTTATTTTCAAAAACCTTAAGACGCTGCTCATCCCTTAATGTAAGCGGCCAAGTTTCGCACCCATAAAGAACTGTAGGCAAGATAATTGTTTTATAGATTCTAATTTTTAAGTTCCGGGACAAGAGGCGCGAACTAAGTAGTTTTGTCACAGAAAAATAACAAGCATTTCCCGCCTTCAGTCTAGCCTTAATTTCTTCTTCAATATCGTTTTCTCTATTTATCGTAGAACCTAGATACCTAAACTTCTCTACCTGTTCAAACATATTACCATCTATATCGATATCACCAGTAGTATCGCCATTTTTGGAGCTAACCATATATTTTGTTATATCCTCGTTTATTTCGAGTCCTAATTCTTTACCGGCTTTCATTAACGTTGTCGTATTTAGTTTTATAGTTTCAAGGTCTTCGCTTAACAGTACCAGATCATCCGCATAGCCCAGCACGGATGTTGTACCACCCAGATCCAACCCTTTCTCGGCACTCATTATCTCCCTAATGGCATGTTCTAGTGCCAAATTGAACAGGACAGGTGAAAGAGAATTCCCCGGTTTTAAACCCGAACGAACCTCAAATTTTTCGGACAGATTATTATCTATTCTAACTTTATTGAGTGTCTCCGTCAAGCACATCCTGACTAGATTTACTAATTTTTTAGGAATCCCCTGCTCGATTAGAATATTATACAGTTTCTGGCGGTCAATAGAATCGTAAGCCTTTTTAAAATCTATATACAGCTGGTGTCCAAAAACGTCAATTATGAAACAAAAATGATCTGTACATCTATCGGAAAAGAACATTACAATAACTTAGCCACGTTACGTTGACAGGAAAAACCAATCAAGTGCATTCGAATTTGATTCACCAGTAAACCACTTCAAGCAAATTTCCACATTCAGCCCTTTCAACATGGACTCTCAGCACGATCTTCTTATCTTTGAAAGATTGCAATTTGCAATGAACCTCACACTGCACCAGGCGGTAGAATAGGAGCCCATTAAGAAGAAGAAGGCAATTTTTGTAACACATGTTCCTGAAGAAAACAAATTTCTATCGCAGCCATGTTTCTTCGAGCTCAATTTATACAGGGTCTGAAGGACTACTAGATCGGTGAACAGCTTCTACAAAACGTAACTCTAAAGAATTTTGACGTCCTCTTTAAGCAACGAAAACTACCATCTTAGAAGCATCTCGCTATAAATCAGAACATCTAGGCAAGCCTGTTGGAATATTATCAGGATATCAAGTCGACACATATATAATATCGAACAAACTAACCACAGCTAATCAACAGACACTCTTGCCGCCACAACAAGTTTTGGTTCAACGGCAACAGTCATCAGTAGAGTTTCAATTGGAATCAGCGTTCTCCACTGTAAATTTATCGAAGAGATTTTAAGGCAATCGGCAGAATTCAAAACATTTGATTTGTACAAATTATGACTTAATCATAAAAAATAATTCGTTACTGTACCTTCTAACAACAAGGCACAAAATTCGAAGTTCACTAAGGTGTTAGATCTTCTCCGAACTCCGTACATGTCTTCAGTTATGTTGGTCTCAACATTCCGCTTCAGCTAAGCACATCTCCTTTCGCTTATATTCAGTTCTTTTAATACAGCGTAAAAGAAAAGTTATACTCTCTGAAGTCTGCAAGAAATAAACGATGGATGCTAATTTTTGCTCTATTTAGGCGTGTATGAATTATGAAAGTCAGCATTCATCACACAATAACTTGTCCGGGGACGAGATGTTCCTTTTACATTGAGAGAGCAAACCGAGAAATAACTTGCTTCCCTAGCAGTTTAGGACCTCATCAGTTCTGCCGCATTGAGAGATTAGGCTCCTCTCTGGTTGTCATAGCAAAACCTGATGGTAGATTCAGGCTTTGTGTTGATTACAAATCTTGCGTGAATTCGAAACTGGTCACGGCCAGTAGATAGTCTTGCGTAGTCTGAGATAATGTTATAGTAAGCTAGACTTGCCCATGGCATATCTTAAAGTAAAAGATTGTAGAAGGAATGAAGATACAGCAAATTGCGATGCATAAAGGACCTATAGAATGAATTATCTAAGATTCGGAATTAAAACGGCCCCATCGGAGTTCATACTTTCTCGATTCCTGTCTCAGATTTTGCATGGTCTTCAAATGGTTGAGGCTTACTTTGATGACATCATCTTCCGTAACGATGAATCCCTTCAAAAACATCATAATTGCTGGTTTAAAGTGTCTCAAAGAGAACTATCTAAATCTGAGCAAAATCAAATATTTCTTTTTAAATAGAAAGCATCAATTATTTGAGCAATATTATATTCTTTAACAAAATTCAGAAATGCTCGAAACGGTTCAAACAGTCTCAGTGATACCTTTAAGTTTATTCCTGAACTCATTTCCAAGTCACGTTAGATGCTGCAAAAATTGTTGCACAAAGGAGAAAAAATTGTATGGTCAGTTGGCAGTGAAGTCGCAGTTTTATAAACTCAAGTAAGAATTGTGCATCAAAAGCGTCCTTAATTCATTCAATCTACCCAATGCACTAATCTTTACCACAGATACCAGGAACTACTGCTATCCTTAGAGCTCTAACCCAAACTGAAACAAATAACCAATACACAAAACATTTAAAACTATGCCAAGACAGTTGAAATCACTCCTGTTTATAATTATTTATTTATCAAATTATGGATTTGAAAAATGATTTAATGCTTGTATTAAGTCTCTTATTCAATTTATTATTTTTTTTTTTTTACTGACAGTTTTTGGTATGAGGAACAATAGCATCATTCTAAAGAAGATGTGTATTCCACCACGTTTTATTGTATTATTTTTAGTGTGGTGTTAGTGCTCTTCGGTGTTTTAAGGAGTCAAATTATTAATTGTTTCTTCGATTTTTCAAATAATTTAACCATGTAACTGTGGTGATTAAAAACAAAAGTACGTAAATACATTTTCTAGGACTAAGCTTTGGTCAAAAAACGGTAAGGTTTTAATTATTCTAACAAATTTGAACGTCATTCCGGATTAGAGAAGCCATTATCGCTAAAAATACATCTAAATAAGAATAAAAGAACATTTTGATAAACAGTTTTTTAATTTCATTCCTCAAATTTCACCGATTTATTCTTCCGAGAGCTTACTGATGCTCTT